TAGTCCCGAGCGGGCAAGATAGCTCCATCTTCCCCACTCGGGTAGCCAATCACAGCGCAGCATTTGATTCATCTTGCCCGCTCACGGAGCTAGCCATATAATAACTAACAATATCTAAAAAGTGATAACAAGCATGAAAGTTGCAAAGCACCCACGTTAGATAACGTACTACTGCGGACATGCATCCTGTGTGCCACTTCAGAGATCTAACGTGGGCTGCGGAACAGGAACTGGGTCACAGAAGAGATTCGAACGGAATGGAAAGCATGTGTACAAGTAGAAATTCCCAAAAAGGTAACCTTAGCGAGTGTGAACCAAGTGTGCGCTCATGTTAATGCCAATTGACAGCAAATAACTGTACCATAGTTGGCGGGAAATGATCCAAGGAGATTTAAACAAGCAGCCGCCAGGAGAGAACACGACGGATTCAGGAAAGACCGGCATTGACCTCATTGCCATGGGATCATTTCAGTCAGTGTATGAAGCACCTGTCAGTTCCTCGTAAATAATATTTCAGTCCTTCGAGAATGTAGCATTGGATTGTCTTGTTAGAGAGACTTCAGTGGGGTAAGCACTTAATGACTGGCCCCAAGGGAAACAGTGAGGTTTGTTTCCCGAGACCCTCAATGTTCCCCTCGGCTTCGCCTCGGGGAACATAGAGGTCGAGGGGAAACAAAACTCATTGTTTCCCGCCATTTGAGGCCATTTGAGAGCGTAAAAGCTCACTCCATGGTCACGGCTTTTCCTGACTTTCCGAAACGCACACTGTGGAGCATTGAAAGAACCGAAGAGAAGTAGCGAACTGTTACCCGAAGAACACAAATGGAAGAATAACTGGTTATAACTGCATGGCAGAAGACTTAATATGTTATTTTCAGAGAGTAACATACATATCCAACAGAAGATGGAGAAATTTTAGGTGAGACAACAGTGGTCAGGTGGTCAGAATCGATATTCATGCAGGAAACCAACTGAAGGTAATGAGAGTGAACATTCAGTTTTGCAATCTCATCATAATCTACAGAGAGACCATGGAGGAGGCAAGATTTCACCTTCTTAGCACGTAACATCAGCAGTAAGGACAGACGAGCTTACAAAGAGGTGGAACTACACGTTTTAAAATTACAAATAGAATGATGCAGCTGACCTGGGATATCCTCTCAGTTATACACCAACAGCAATAATTCGTTGGTCAATACAAGTGGACTCTTTCCCTCAGCCGAAACATGGAACACCCCATATTCACGTTTCAAGTCCTCATCCATACTCTTCTTCGCTATAAATTCTTAAGATACACGGCTTGACAAGATCACACAAAAAAAAGGCTTGTAAAGAAGAACAAACCAGACAGAGATCGCAGAGTCATTACAATGAAAAAGTGGAAGATCACACTCTCACAAACGGATCACTTAACAGGCGTCAAGCTAAACCCACGTGGAAGGAGAGAACAACTGGGACAAAAATGCAGAAACACGCTGCGAGACCTTCAGTCAGACAGTGTCACCAGGCGAAAGTTCTTGCCCACAAAAGAGTAAGGTAGATGGGTTTGGTGGACAAGGGGACAATGGGATTTTAAGTCAGTAAGTGATTCGGTTAAAGTTTTAAAATTGGTGATTTCTCTAAGCTGTGCAAATTATTATCTGTGACTCACTTACCAGCCC